AAGAAGATGGCAAAGATCAGTTAGGGGTAGCAGGAGGCTGCAGGGATAGCAGAGTGCAGGACAAAGGAGTGCAAGGAGGAGTGTAAAGTGATGAGGGCAGCAGGGACAGTGGAGTGCAAGGCAGCCAATTAGGCAGATCAGAAAAATAGGGAGGTTGGGGGGGAGTTGAAGCACATGCTGCAATCATAAATGTGGTGACTTGCCAAGTGTCCAAATTTTGATCACATGAACACGAGGGTGTTGCAATGATTGCAACTTGGATAACTGGTCATAAGTACCATTCATTCAGTGCTCTTGTAAATATGAACAGTCACTGAATGAATGGTTATTAAGTAAGGATTACCTGTACTGCAGTACACTCTACATAGGCTCACTTCGCAAAGTGCCTGGAAGCTAAATGAGTAAAATATGGCTATTAGTTTGCTAACTTATGCTATTGGTAACTAATGCACAACAATTAGTTCACTTGATAGCAATATTTAACTCTTTAAACTGATAATTTAATTTAACGTGGTGCTAATATATTGGCTAAAAGATTTAGGGCCTGATAATGTGATGGGGCCCATCTGTCCCATTATAAACCTGTACAAATATTTTAAGATCTACAGTACAGTCCCTTCTGAAGATACCCACACTTGCTGAGACCTATCTATTAGGCCGAAATGATTCTTTACATTTGGACCCTATTCTTCCACCTTTAGAAAAATGGTTAAGGTATATTCCTTTAGCAACAGCTTGGCACCTAAATTGAATTATAGTAATACCAAAACAAAAAAAGCATAATAATGTATCTTATTGTAGGAAACTTGGTGCTCTTTAAGCTTACTTGTTTTCTTGCAGATGTTTCATTACCCAACTGGGTTACATTATCATGCAAGTAAGTATCTTACTGATATAAGTATATAGCTGCCCTTTCAAATAATTCAGGATAGTAATATAATTTTTTTTTAAAGTACAAAAATGTCATATGATATGAAAATATTTTCAAAAGCCTATATCAAAATTTTGCTTTTATATTATTTCATTAGACAGGCCCATATTTCTTGAGATTACGTAGCCTTACGGGAGGGGCAGGAATTTGTACTTGTGTAGCAAGTGGTAGCTTGGCAGAGTCAAGCCTATTTACTACTTGGACATAAGCTTCCAAGAAATATCAGGGCTGTAGGCTAGACTGGGACATTTAAACACACACACACACACATTCTGAAAGATGGTAATGGCAAACCACTGCCTTAGTACTACAGGAAAACTAAATGGACATATCCATGAAATTACTAGGAGTTAAACTGGATTTGAAAATGATTTTACTTTCTTGTAGCAGTGAAAGAAATATTTCTTGAGGTCATATTGGATCCTTCAATGCAACAGGCGGAGGAAAAAGGGAGGAAAGATTACAACTCTTTCTTCTAAGGTTAAGATTAAATACATTATCTTTATTGGGGATTCATTCTGTTTGTAATATGCCTTTTGATAAAAGAAAAACTATACTTTTTGAAAATTGACCAGTGTGATAAGAGGCAGATTTCTCTTCCATGCTTTAGTTCTACTCTGTCTGATCACCGTTATACTTTCATAGTACTCTGTTTTCACACTTTCATTAGCATAGAGCAGTAATTCATTATAAATGGAAAAATAACGTTTAAGTAGAAACATGTACTTCCTCCAACTAGTCCAGAGATGGAACTCTTAGTGATTACATCAGAGAGGGTTTTTAAATAGCACCAGTTATTCCAAGGATGTTAGCATTGATCTTGGCAGCCTCTCTATTTTCAGCAGAGTCCTTCTTACAAGGTGCTCCAGTAGAAGATGCATTTTAGTTTCTGGAGAACTACAAGGTTAGGAGTTCATTAGGACTAACATTAGGAGGTTAGTTATTGCTTCAAAGTCTATTCAAAATATATTCAAAGTACACAGTAACGCTCACTTATAAGTTCCAGTATGTACATACAGAATGTATCTGCAACTCCTTCAATGCATATTCCTTCTGGCTATGAATTTGAAAAATGTAGAAATATTGAAGCATATCTCCAGAATGTTAATTTTATCATATATTCTTACACTCCTATCCAAATGACTTCATTCTAAAGAAAGCCAATTACCTGAAACTATATTATCAGAAATCTCAAGAGATCTTTTTTTTTTTTTTTGGCTGAATATACCCACTTCATACATGGAACTATTTCAATCTTTCTGGGCTGGGAAAGCAAAAGGCAGAGGAAACAATACTTTGCATGTATGGGGAAAAATAAAACAAAAAATCTTGATACATGTTCCTTATTGGATATGTTTAGAATTCTCAAGTAAACCTAAATATCACAATAGAATGAGAATTTTAGCATGTAAATTTGTACTTACCACTGAAAAGGGGTGACTTTTTGCTTCTTCGCGTATGTTTGTAAAAGGTGATTCTAATATCAAGGCATCTGGGGGAGTTTCTGAAAAATAAAGAGGATTATCCATTTCAGCCAAACTATTGATGCATTCCTACAAAAGCATGTTTTGCATCCACCTGGAAGGGCATCTTGAGTAGTGCAGAGAAATGCAAATCCAGACATGAAACTATACATAGAGACATGATTGCAAGAACACTTTCCAGTATTCAAAAATTTGCCATTATTTTCAATTTCTGTACGGATGAAGCAGTATGTATTATTACATTATTTTTAAGCCACTTGGACAAACTACCAAGGCAGTCATCTGAAATGAACATGCTCCGACTTAAAAAGAATTCAGGAGAGTGTGACATAGTGAACTTTGATAGCATTAAAAATGTTTAAAATAAAATATCACAGGCTCAACTGGACTTATTTTTTGAATATACAAATGCAGTTATGTTAACTTTTCCCCCAGAATTGAAAAGTGTTAGGCAAATCCATCCATTACAGAAGAGCTGAGTAAAGAGGCTTTTTGTAGCTGCTAAAAACTGGAGGCAAGTACAACCTCCAGAGAACTTTGAACATTACATATGAGAGAAGAAAACTATGAAACATATAACAGAACATAACTATGCTCGTTAATCAAATTTAAATAAAACATTCTTTTTTCTGGCCTTCTCTTCTAATTGGTCCTACCACGCCTATCAACAGTTAAGTGTGAAACCTGGCCTGCAAAACATTGCACACCATGATGGAATCATTATCTCACTCTGATATTATTTTTAAAAAGGCAGTTTTACTGCCTGACCTATTTAAACTCTTCTCAAAATCAAGAGAAAATACGGAGGATATCAAATGCTCTTTGATAACATCATGTAGAAAAAGGCATCTTACCTCTTTCACAAAGACGTCTTACTAGATTGGTTGAAACTCTAGAAGCAAAACAGAGTTACGTGTTGGTTACAGAGAGCTCTCACTTAGTTCTCTTCTTAAACCTTCTTTACAACTCTACCCCATTTATCTTATCTCCTACTTTAAAAAACATCTTATAAAACATTAAGATTTGATACCTCTCTTGACCATAAGAAAGCAGCAATGTGTAAAATTCCAGAAGCATATGGAATTGTGGAACTTTTAATAGGAGGCCATGACATAAATAACAGCTCTATATCTCTAATCTAAATTAAAGAAAGTATAAAGAGCATTCATAGACTGTTAATAAAACTGATCATCATATCAGTTTCATACATTGCTCCAGTAGAAATTAAAGTAGTAAACAGTAAATTATTGCCCAACATTTGTACTGCAAACTTCATCAAATAATATATAATCAATTCTAAGGTGCCTGGATGATATTCATCTTTTATATTTTAAAGAAGCATTTGTATAAATCTGAATGCTTATGACTTCCTCTTATCTTCCAACAAAAATGCTTTGGATTCCAAGTTCTTCACAGTGGACCCATACTGAATATGGGATATTTATATTGTCAAAGTAATTTTGATAAATTCCCTGGAGTTCTGTTTTGCAACCCCACCTTACTTCTCTGGATAACTTATGGATTCCACTAATAGGAGTGAAGAGGAGAGGAGAGGAGAGAAAAAGAACCCTTTAATTGGAGTCTTTTTGTGAATGGAAGGGTCTTTCTATACATTGAAAGCAACAAGTCCAACTCCCCCTGGCCCGGGGAAGGGAAACCCAACACATTTATCATTAAATGACACAAGAAACCACTACATATGGGATGTTTAACCTAAAACCTAAAAGAATCTAAATCTTTAAAAAGGGTATTTACTGGTTACATTTCTTATTTCTATTTTTTAATGAGCATAGTTCCATCAGAAGTGGCTCTATCTCCTCTTTTTAAAATGAAAAAAAAGCATTTGCATATTTTTCCATTTAAACTCTGCAAAATCAATTTCCTCCAGCTCTTTGGCCTCTTTTGACTACTAACAATAACAATGAAGTTTTGAATTTACCGATGTCTTTGGCAGCATCTGCACTGAGAATGGAGTTCAAGCATGTATAGTAATAGAAAAGGAACTACAGAGACAATAGCCACAGCACATGCAAATCTAAGCGTGTTAAGAAAAGTAATAGCCATAGCACTTAGCAATAGCAATAACACTTAGACTTATATATCGCTTCACAGTGCTTTACAGAAGTCTCTAAGTGGTTTACAGAGTCAGCATATTGCCCCCACCAATATGGGTCCTAATTTTACTAAACCTTGGAAAGATGGAAGGCTGAATAAGCAAAAGGTTCCTGATATCAGCAAAGACATAGCTTTCATTAATGTCTTTGAAGCAAAGACATTAATGGGAAGATCAATCTATGGAAGTTCAAAATATTCCAAAAATATTCAGTTGACTCTGCATCATCCACTTTCCTGTGGCAGGAACATTTTGTGTGGAGTCTTGGGGATACTTCTGCCAGCAGAATGTAAACCTTAAATGATGCCATTAATATTATTCTAAAATTTTGCTTAGATCATCTGGAAAATAAATAAATAAATTTACCCAGTGCCCAAGGAGTGTCCCCATATATAAACTGGATTGTCTCCACTTCTTGCTTTTATCCAGTCAAATACATGAAGAGCATCATAGGTCATCCCACTTTCTGAGGGAGTGCCTATAGAGTCTCCCCACCCTGAAGGAGATAAAAATAAATATTCCAAGAATCATACTGCTGCTAATCAAAATATAAGGTTTGGCTTCATGTTTCAACTCAGACCAAAGACCACAATGTGTCAGGACATTGGAAATGAATAGGTAAATTTTCAATTACCTTTCATTTACTCGGAACAGGCTAAAATACACAATAAAATAAAATGGAGTTGGCATAAAGCAAGAACTAAAGTTGTACCAGGCCTATTCAACTAGATTCCAATATGACTTGAACTTTTCAAGGAGACCTTGAAAAGACAGTTTTTGCTAATAGAATTGGGTGGAACAATTTCTTTTACAACATATCAAAGCTACAGCAAAAACTTTTTGAGAGATTTCCCTAATACCTCCAAACAAATTTTAAGAATTCTAGGGGATGGATGTGTGTGCCATTACAGAATAAAATTTCTGCATTTAAAAATCTTATGAAAACAAACTCAGTTACCTGCCAACTGCTTCTACTTCCATTGGACCTAAAGCATCTTGGAATTCTTAGGATCCCAATTCCCTACAATTCCCCCCCCCCCTGCTGCCCAACACACACACTCCCAGCTAAGAATGCTGAATAGGAATTGTGGGAATTGTCATCTTAACACATCTAAAAAGTGTCAGTTGAGGGAGGGGGAGTTACACTAAAAATATGACTTTCAATTGCAGCAAAATTTCTGGGAATATCTGCTTTTCAATCATTTGAGTATGAGAATAACTATTTGAAAACAAAGTATGTACAAGCAAAAATGTCATTTTTATGTGTTTGCAAGCATGAAACTTTGCAGAATTCTATAGAACAATCTGTAGAGTGTGAAACTGCTGCTATGCTACTAAATGGACTGTTTCAATCACTCTGGAGTGTTTTGAGCTGGGAGCAGAACTTTTCTGAGTTCAAAAAGTTGTTTAGGGCTCAGAATTTCCTGTTTCATATTCAAAATAGCAGCTTAAAAACAGGTTATTTTGTGAAGTTTTTCATTTGAGATCCAACATTTTGCATACTCCTGAATCAACTAAATAATTCATTTGTAAACATTCTGTAATACATTTATAATTTATTTACAATTTAATTTATAAAAATGGGAAATGACTGAGTATTAACAGACCACGCACCATAATTTGGGGGATAAATAAAACACACAAACTCCTGCAAATTATGTGGTTAATGAAATTCAAGAAATAGCCAATAGGTTGGTTAAAACAAAACAGCCACCCATATTTGGACATTTCAGAACAAAATCTTACCTCTATAATCAAATGTGACTACATGGTAACCAAGAAAACTTAAAACCTGTAAGGGAAGATAAGCAACTCTAAATAAGTTTAAGAAAATATTAAAATGATAATCACTACATCTTAACAAATCCCTTCACTTTGACATGGCAATATACAAGGTTCTCATTTTTAATGGAGAGTAGGAACTATTCAAGATGCACCCCTTCATTGCATTGTGGAATGGAACAGATCATAAAAGGTTTACAATATGATTTGACACTGTTCGGTAATGCAGTTTTTGAGTATCTTTCTGCTTATATTTCTTACTCTTATTTATTTCACCTTATCAGGGAAATGAATGGCATACAAATGAAATAAATAAATGTTTCCCCTCATATAAAATATGGAAAACAAATACAGGTACATGTTACTGTTAATAATATTAAATACTGAATTCAGAACATATAAGTAACAACACTGCAATTCCTACCTTGTAGAGTTCCACACGATGATCCCCTCCTCTGTTAAGAGATGTTGGGAAAGCAAAGTTAAAATTAACATAAAACATTGTGTTACATAATTTTCTAGTGTCAGCATAAAAATGAGCTGGCTTTTAATGAAAAACTAATTTGTTAGTAGTAGTTTAAGAGCCACTGATTTCAATAAACCCTTACAAAAGACTGTAGTCTTGGCCACTTGCTAGGGGAGAAGCACTGTTAACTGGAATTTACATGATAATTCTATTCATGTCTATTCAGAAGTCAGCCATTTCCTTAGAAATCAAATTCTGAACTGCAGATATTGAGCTAAATTGTGTCCAACTATAAATACAGTGCTTCACTCATATAGCCAGCCAAAATGCTTTCTATTCTTCCATTTGGAATGGCCTTAATGGTGCCCAGACTTCAGACCCAAAATACTGAAAATCAGTAAGATGATCTCAGATAAAACATGTACAGAAACCAATGCATATTTCTGAGCTAGAAGAGCTCTGCAAGGAAGTGTTTTTTTAAAAGTAAGAATAGAAGGCCTTTTAGTTGGCTATAAGAAACTTAAAAGCTATTACTCATGCCAAAGCAGATGTTACTAAGAAGAGTGAATATAGTTTCTGCATTTATCATATTGAATGCTTCCTTATTTGGAATCTGTAAACAACTGCGCAATAAATATGCATTCAAATTTGTGGAACAATGCACAGTAATATTGAGATCCAAAACATTCATCAGGTTAGCCAGCAAACATATCAGGCCGCTGTCCCTTGCCCTAACAGAACCCAAGCCGGAAAGGTTGATTAAAATCTATTTAAGATATTTTATTTAAGTAAGGAAAGATGCCTCACTCAAAAGAGGAGAGGAGCACTTTACAAAGGCAGAAAATCATTTTAGATACAGTTCAAGCATATTGAGTTTGGAATGAGTTTTTTCATTTGACACAATTCCGATGCAGCACGCATACTCGTAACTAATATATAGCATGTAACATTCAATGGCATCCTATAATATTCTTAGTATGATCTTGTTAATGCTCATCTTCACATTCAGGAGATGTGTGTCTCACATTTTGAATTTGCAGGTAACTAAATTCCAAGTCAGTGCCTTTCAACGGTTTAAACCAGTTCTCTTATCAGGTTGTACATAGCTTTCTTTGTTCCTCCAAGAATTAGAAACATTAATCAAAGGAACTCCTAGTTACTGAAAACATTAATCAAAGAGGCCCGCTCTGCTGCTGACATCAACCACGTCTACTCTTTGGATCTAAACTGTGGTACAATACCATGGAATCAGATCTGATTAAAAGACAGTAAGAGAAATGTATTTAAAAATAAACTAAGTAAACAAAACATATACTGGCTTCAAGCATAAACATTCTAAACCTCTGCGTACTTGGCCTGTTTGATGAAGAATGAGCCTTGAATAAATTTAAATTATGGGCAATATTTTTATTTTTGTGTTTTGCTTACCTAGTCCCTGCATTTCCATGCAAATAAAGGATTACAGGGTTATTGGAACCCAAAATATCCTCATACCACAGTTGGTCCTTCCCTTGAGCATCTTTCCATAAAATTGTGGGAACTGTGTGCCTAAAAGAAATGGTAACAAGAATTTCATTGTTTCCTTGCATATTTTCATCTCTCTTAGTAACTTCCCTGCTTCAGAAGCCTACAAATGTGCAGTAAGTTATATACAATATTTAGAATTAGTATACAAACTATTAACAACTGATTGTGTGCTGAATCTTAAGCAATTCCAGAATTTCTAGAGTTTTAATTTAGCTATTCTCAACTGAAAACCATAGGATATTTCAAGGGAGTTACAAGTAAAAAATATGTAAAGGGGTGGCACAGAAATCGTACAGTAATACAACTACTGTCTTATTGATGCTAGGTTCCCAGCATCCCAGTTAAAAGTTAAGAAGTTTGGTCTGCAAATTGGTGAAACATGTTTTCCAGATAACACAACAATACGCTGGCCTATGTAAGATATTTGGTCAATGACAAATTCAGATAAGAAACGCTTTTCATTTGAAAGTCTAAAACAGATACTAAAGGGAAAACGTTTTTTGAAGAAAAGTTACTTCAATAAGAATGATCTCTCTCTCTTGACAATATTATAGCTTCCATGACAGGTACACAGAAAATGTATTGCATTTTTTAAACATGCTGTGCTAGAAGTATTTTGTTTTTGCTGCATAATTCACCACCACCATTTGATTTCAAAAAGTTTGGGAAAACTGGATATTCTGGCCTGGACAGTGAATCCATTTGCAATGGTTACTGCTGACATTGACATTACATTGCAAGAAGTGCTCATCAAACTACAGAACAATATAGAAGTTGAAAATGAAAGGCAGTTAACTACATAAAATTAAATGCATGTCAAGATTTTCTGTTTCAACAGCCTTGCAATGACAGTGATTTAAATACTTATCCATTAGCTACCACATATATTTTAATTTTACACTAAATAACTTAATTAGCTGTGACCAAAGCTGCCGATATATGAACAATATTTGAAAGTACATTAGAAGCCTCCTTAGTTTACGCTAGCATAACTAATTCAGTTTTGTTTTGGAAAAAGAGTGCAAGCAATCTAACAAAGAAGGATAAGAACAATTCTCTGCTTCCTTTCCTGCCATACTTGGGAAAAGAAATGACTGATATTCAGTATTTTCTATCCTATTTAATTATATTAATTAAGTATGGCTTTTAAAATCTAAATTATGGTTCAGAATAAATTAAGTGTGTAACCAATACCACAGATACATGAAGATGAATGCCAAAGATTTAGCAAGGGAACAGCAATACGAATTTGAAAATAACCTTTGAAATTAAAGAATTTGGAAACACTGTTTTATTATAATTTATTTCCAGCCCCGTTTTCAAGCAAATCTATTTCTATTCCAAACACTAAAAGAGATCAATAAAGAAAAAAATACACATACCAAGAACTTGCTTTACATCCAATTCATAAATTCAGAATCAGCATGTATGGTAACTCCTTCTTACTTTCCCTGGGGATATATCCTGTCTTCCAACCCTAGCAGTACAACCTTCTAAAAATGAGTTAAATTTATTTCTGATGTCTATTGGGATCCTGTTAATTATCAGCATTATTCCTACCAAGCTGATGCAATAGAAAATTTGTAAATTGTTACTATAACACTGAAGTTTCTCAGTATTTCACCAAACTGGCTCTTATTTCTACAAGTTGAAAACAAAGGAATATTAAACAAGAGTTTTAATACTTTTAAAGCAGTGGTTAGGCATAAAAGTGAAAGTGAACACTACTCATTTTAAAATACTTTTAGTTTCATGTCTGTCTAATCAGTACTTTAAAATCATTGTTCTATGAAAATCACTTTTATATAAGTAGATCAAGAGACATGAAGGTGGGGCTGGGAGTAAAATACAGAACAATGCAATCCTGGATATCTGTAAACACTGTCTATCATGAGCAGCAGCACATGAGTCATTTTAGGATAAAGTATCCCATTCCAGTTCTTCAACAATCTTAAATATTCAAACAATGGGGTAGATTTAGATATAACTGCTACAGAGAGGATTCTCATGCTGGCAATGCATCTAAAAACCATTATATACAGAAAAATTAAGAGCTTTTGGTTTACTTCTCAAAGGAATTGGCATTTTCTTTGTTATGCTAAAAGTACAAGAAGAAACCCAGAAATTAATGGTTCTGAATAGTTTTTAAACAGGTTCCATGTCTAAAAGCAAATTATTTGCCACAATTCTTTTATTATCATTTCAATCTTTTTAAAAATAAATCTTATTAATCCAAAACTCAAAGAGAATTGCTTTTTTGCTGTGCTTTTCCAGTCTGGACTTTTATTAAAGAAAGCTAACAAGCGGTTAAATACATATAAATAGACTAAAACAGAAACAGGAAGTTCCAAATCAGTTTTGGAACACACTTTATTTCTACCAGTAGAATGCTGAATTAGCATTATGAGTTGCTACTCAGTTCTACATAATGCTTAGACTTTCAAAAATCTTTTAAGTGCATAAAAACAATGCAAATTAGGTGAAAGGCCACAGCAAAATACTTCCCAACAGCTAGTCCCGAGGAACATATTACCACAAAAATTGGAATTAATTAAATAAAACCTGAGCATTCGTATTTTTTAATCTCCCTTTGAAACTCCTCAGATCTTGAATTACCAATTTCAGTTGCTAATTCAACTATGGGAAAAAAGGTACTTTTAAAAAAATTCTCAATTTCATATTTTTAATCTTAAATGAAGGATCCTGATCTAGCCTGTTAAGAAAGTTAAATACATTTTCTCCCTATGCACAAAAATAATTTCATATACCGTTATCATGTCATTCCATCTTCTTACTTATCTTTTTTCTAAGATAAAAAGCCCAATACAATTTCCTCATATGAGGGTCCCTGAGCATTTTATTAACTTATATATAAAGTGGAGCATCAGTGTGCACTTGCCTATCATTGTTCTTTTAGACTATATTGTTCAAGAGATGTAAAAATTAGATATAATAACAATCCTACTTTTCCTTTAAATTGTAAGAGTCTCAGCCCATTGCTCATCAAAATTGTAGATTTATTGTTAGAACATGATTAATTGTGGCAAAGGATGAATATTTTTATCACATCATTAACTTTTATTTTATTGTTTGTATTTTATAGTCATATGTTTAAACAAACTGGCGGTTCTCCTATTGCTTTATTGTCTTTTGACTCATTGCTCTGAGCAGTATGAAATTATGAGAGCTATTTAGTGAAAAAGTCAGACTGAATCCGTCAAACATAACAATTAAAAAAATACTATTGGAAAAGCAAAACTATTTATCCAAACTAGATAGCAATATAATTGAAAAAAAATGAAGTAACTACAGAAGAATAAAACTGCTTTAGAAGAAAAAAGGTAAAACAATAAGGAGGTGAAGGCAAGAAAAATATAAATATGAGTCTAAACAGATGAAAGGAAACGATGAAAAATTAGGCTGGTTCGGGGTGGGATTCCACCGGTATAACAACCAGTTTGGTGATCATGCGCTTTACGTGAGTTGTGTTGAGAACCTCTGCAGCAACACAAATGTTCATTGCATGTATCCAGCCCAGGGCGGTAGTTTGAGGACCCCTGATTTAGTGCACTATTAAAAATGCAAATAAATTTTCTGTAGACCACCAAAATTTTCTTGCGAACCAGCAGTGGTCCATGGACCACCAGTTGGTGACCGCTGGTCTAAAGCATAACCTTCAGCATAATACTGCACACAGTTGCAATGTACATCACATTGATTGATTTTTTTTCCTAAATTCACAAAAAAAACAAAGCTTTTGTTCTAATTATAAAAGGACACCAATATATAATGAGAAGCATAAAGTATTCCTTACCAAACTCCAATAGTTACATCTTCCTCTGGCTGCAGATAGAAGTTACAGGTATGGTTTAACCCTTGGTCCTGGGGTCTTTTCAAATCAATGAAATAAGGCACTCTTACTGAAATAGAAGGATAACATTCCTTTTACATTTTATTTATCTGATGACTGCAATAATCAACCTCTGTAATTAAAACCAATAATCATAAGCTTGCACAATAATACTTATGAAATATGCATCCCAATGCATAATTAAATTTGGTATAAATTACTAGACATGTTTAAATGTCAATAAGGAGGGGAGGAGTCTTTAAAATTATTTCCATTAGTCAGAGATACAGGAAAAAAAAAACTCTTTTGGCACCTTAAAGACTCACAAATTTATTATGGCTTATGTCTGCATGAATTGCAATGCATTTCATCAGAGGTATGTAAATATACACTGCCATTTGGGAGGAAACGCATGAACAGTAAATAGAGAAGCCAGAAAGAAACGAATTGTATTTTTAATATGTCATTTCCCACTGACATCATTGTTCATTATTCCCAAATATGCTCCCAAACGTGAGTTTGTACAGTATATTCTCAGTTAATGTTAAAAGGCTCCAATAAAGACATTAGGCTAGATTAAATGTGTGCACTTTTAAGGTACAATTACACTCTTTGCTGTTTTTTTCTGGCTACTCATCTGGGAAAAGATTAGAAGTTACCCTTCTTTGGATTGTAATTTGTTTTCCAACTTCTACCGCCATGTTTCAAAACATACTTATTAAATCATAATTGTTAACTGTCAATACAGTTACTGTTTCTCCCAGTTCCAAGAGTCAATTATAGATTGTATCTTTAAAACTAATTTAGGAAATCCTAGAATTAAATTTGTAGGGCAGTTTCAGCTCATTGGTTTTCTATCCCATCTTTGTAAAACATTTGCAAGGTCAGCAGCAAATTCTACATAACCTGCAAACAAGTTAATTAGAATACAGTCATACCAAGCACAGCAAGGATGATATTTTTGAGGAGTGCTGAAAGGAAACAATTGCTTGTTCACTGTCTGGTATTAGAACATTCTCTGCAGATGCCAACAGTAACAAAATTGCAAGCAGCTGTATCAAGCCTCTCCTTCATCAGCACTTCACAAAGAAATAATGAAATATAATCAGATACCAAGAAACTGAGATCTCACTCACATGCTTTAAATCTGAACTGACTGAACAGTGTGACACAAGATTTAATATATGAAGGAACAATTGAAAAAAGTCAAATCCGACTTCAAATTAAGTATCTGTACCAATATACTATTGTAGCCAAGGCAGCTTGATGGCAGCAGTTTCCAAGATTCTTGTGGGATACTGACATTGACTTTTAAGTAACTAAACAGAAACCAGTCTTTAAAGAAAGGGTAGGCTGACCAAGGTATGAACACTTATTAATCCTGAATTAAAATATTAGCATAGAGTCAAGATAAAATAAATATTAAATGAAGCATTATTCTTACCAAAATTTAGGAAGACAAGCTTTGCCTGAATAGCTGGACAAATTTTAACTAGAAACGGAATCGCTAAGTATATTCCCAACAACCAGATCACTACTTTCCGCAATCGAACCCACATTCCATGTCTCCTGAAAAAAAGGGTAGGGGAGGAAATGTAAGTTCATTTTACGGACAAAATTCTTGTGAATTCTTGTGAACACATTTTGCTATAGGTTTAATTAAGATAACCATGGTGGATAATAAACACTACCAAAATGTAGGCCATTTATTTGTGGATATTGTCTCAATTATTACATAATCACAGTAATAGCTTCCTGTTTTTAATAGTCTCCTCTAGATCAAGTTCAACGCATAAACTCTTTATGTAGAATTTTTTTGAAAATAATATGCATGTATTTTCCCCCTCCATATTTTTGAGAAGATTTATAAATTGCTACATTATTATCATTTATATATTACCAACACTTGACATTCTGCTTTGTAAAGTAACATGCAAAAGTCCTGTCCCCTGCACTTAGGAAATATAAAAAAATGCACTTTCATTCCCAAAGGAAGGGACAGAGGAGAAGGACAATAATTAATATCAACAAAACATTTACAGCGATTCCCTCAACTTAATGTTTAAAAATCCCTAGAATTAATTTTCTCAAAAGTTTTTTTAAACAGATTGGAATAATGTAACAAAAATAGAAGGATCTCTTATCCAAATAACATATCTAATAATATACTGTATGTTTTCTCTTACCATTACTATGATTAATAATGCTGAAAATGAGTATGATAAAACTCATATAACTAAAGAGGACAAATGTCATACAAAATGTTAAAAATATGATAATAACAAATGAATGAAATAACAGGTAATATCTGAATGCTCAGACTGCCACTCAGGGACTTTCCGCCGGCATTATTGCCCCTGTTCCTTTGATGTGCAGTTTGCAGTGCAATACTGCAACTACTTTATAATTAAATTCCTGCTGCAATAAGAAAGAAAAATAACATCCTTTTTTTCTCATTTGGAAGTAATTACTTTCTTCTTTGGCTACAAATTTAATGTGGAAAGGTGCTATTAGTGTTGAATTGATCCTCAGTAGACTTTTATTAACCCTCAGAATTCTTGTAGAACTTTTTAAGAAAGGAATACTTTATTAGCCCAATTGTTAATGCTTTGATGAGCATTAAATCTACAATAGATTTCCAATCTCACTATTGTAATATCCTTGTGCCACAGTAATCTATATGACAGGGTTTCTTAAGCTTTGCTGTGCCCTGGCAAAGAGCTTTTCCTGGGGGGAAAAACTGTGGAGAACATGGCAGCTTTTTTTGCCTAAATTTGGCACCAAGATTCTGGGCAATGATAATGAATGAGGATGGGTGTTGGTATTCCTGTTTCTGCATTTTGAGCAGGGAAACCACTCCACTTTATAGCTTGCTTGTTACCTGGCCCCATTGCAGGGGGTTTATCAAGAGAGGCTGCTCCCTGCTAAAAGGATGAACTACCTTCTTACAAAGAAAACAAGTCTATGTATGATAGTCTAAATAATGATTTATTTACTTATTAAAAGCACATTGGTAAAAAATAATAATCAGTACACCAAATACAAGTTAGGCAGATATGGCCTCACTGACCTCACTCCAAGGACCTTGGAGTACTCATAAGCACCCTCAGAGCTCACTGCAACAGTATTGCCAAAAAGGCATAAAAAGTTGTAAATCTAATCTTACGAAGCTTCTCCTCTGAAAATATTGAATTGCTAATATTGAATCCGCACTGTATATCGGACATTAATACAATTGAGCGAGTCCAGAGAAGAATACTACACTACTCTGCTCGCAACACAATACCCTATATCACTAGGGTTGAAATGTTGGGCTTGGACAACCTTGAATCGCCTACAATTGGACTTATGTGTAGTACACAAAATTATCTGCTACAATGTCCTACCAGTCAATGACTACTTCAGCTTCAACCACAACAATACAAGAACACACAACAGATACAAACTCAGTGTAAACTGCTCCAAACTCGATTGCAGAAAGTACTTCAGCAACAGAGTGGTCAATGCCTGAAATGCACAACCTGACTCTGTTGTTACATCCTCTAACCCCAACTCCTTTAACCTTAAACTATCCACTACTGACCTCACCCCATTCCTAAGAGGTCTGTAAGGAGCGTGCATAAGTGCACAATCATGCCTACCGTCCCTGTCCTATTGTCCCCATTTATTCATACCTATTTCCTGTATTCTTACTCATGTTTATACTTATACCTATTATCTTGTAAATGATTGACAAAGAAAGAAAGAAAGAAAGAAAGAAAGAAAGAAAGAAAGAAAGAAAAACTCTAATTTAAGATGACTTGCTAATTATTGGAAGCAATGTGAAATTAGAACTTAGAATAACTTTATTGTCACTTTGAATGTACATTATTGGCATACATTAAAATGAAATTTCATTGCACACAGCCCTCAAAGGGTCATCACATCCAATATAAACATGGCATGACATAAACATGACAAAATACTCTAAATAAAATATACAAAATACCCACATATAGTATATGACACAGAGAAACAATACTCAGATTTGTCTGAGTTAGATAGAGCAGAAAAGTCAGACAATTTCACTGATAAATTAGCAAAATTTTAAAATGTTCTTTCTACAGCAGCCAATATATAAAGAAATCAAGAAAAAAGGATACATTATTCACAATCATATGATTATCACAGCAAAGTTATTTGTTCACGTATTTTATAGATAAGGCCTTGTGATACAGTCAGCATTTGTAGACAATTCTGCTTTGTTTTGAGTTACTGCAAACTCACTTTCGGATACCATTTCATTAGGATCTGCTTTTGCTAAATTAAGATATATTTTTATCTTAGTCTCAGCCTAATTAGTGGAGTGAGATTCAACTAACTAAAAACAGTTTTTAATTTGAGGTTACAGGCCTATTAGTTGCCTCCTAAATAATCAGAGCAATTTCTCCTTTGCAAATAGGTCATGGAAACATTTAAAACTCTTGTACTGTAAATGAAATTCTTACTTCTAAAATATACTCTGGAAGATGTTCAAGCTGTACTTTCTTTACTACTGTATAGCTATCATTAAAAAAAAAGATTGACTAAGCAGAATTTAAAATTATTCAGTACTATTTTTGCTTTATAAGCAAATCAAATATCTTTATTACGGTTTTTGACCAGCCTTTGCAATAAAAATTGTTATAGGAAAGAGAAAAAATATTAGGACAATAAAACAATGTATCTAATAAAAAGTACACAGTTGTACAACTTGTTAAAGCTATTAGGTCACCTGAAATGTGAATGTGGAGTTAGCATCCCTTAAAAAAGAATACAAAATTAATCTATGTGACCCTCGTATTTGGAAATGATTGGGATAATTAGAACATGTTTTTGAGTATCATAGATAGGATCCTGTATGAGAACATGACTGAAAATTTCTACCTCCCTGGACCCATAAGGGCAACATTTCTGCAAATAAGGAATCCCATGAAATCTTCTCACCAGTAAAACTGATAATAGGGCAGGTTCTGGAAAAGACCCATCTATGTTTGCTTAGGAATAGATTATATGGATACGCTGCAGGAGAGGGCTTGCGACTGTCTAACGTTGGCAATAGAATTCAGGGGCACTGGTGATATTGTTTTGATGACCAATGTCTGATTCTCTTTCTTACTATTGATTTATTCTTCTACAGGGTTAATTGCCCTAATTGTTCGGAGAGAGGCTCACACTGCAAAGTTCTGCTATACAAATATGCTGCCAATGAGATTGGTAATTGTCTGACCACAGCAGGAATGTTAAGCCTGTAGAACCAATTTCTAAATTATTACTTGGCATGTCTCAATACTGCATTGGGCTTCATTTATAAATTTAATAAAGCATATTATGATCAGCAGTTGACGTCACTTAGGATGACAGTCATAAATAACTTATATTAATTTATATTTTAAAAGATTTTTTAAAGTATTTATTTACTGGATTTACTATAATTTCTCTGCAGATTTGCGCTGGGTTGGCATTGCCTATTAATAGATCTTGGTGGTTTTTTTTTAATTTTAAGCAGCTGATCAGCTTTTGGATTCTTTTCTTTCAACTTCAACAAGACCTTTGTTGAGCCTTCTTCAGTGAAAGCATCACAAGTCTATCATTGGATATTGATGTTTTCCATAGAAATTGTGATTCCAATTTTTGTTTCTTCTATTTCACACACCCAACATCAATTTTGCATATAAGGTAAATAATTAAGGGGAAATTAGGCAACTCCCTTGCCTCTTCAATTGTTCTGATGATAGCAATGTGATCATGGATACCCCTGCTCTTTTGAATCCAGTTTGTGATCTCCAAGTGCCATGTTGTCTTATTGTCAGATCCGTGTATCTGTCATTTCTTCAGTGGAAGAAGAAAAGCGGGGAGGAGGCTGATAAAGAAATCCTTTCTTGATGTAACCTGATATTTTTTATCTTATATCGAATTTGTATAACCCACACGATACGATGGAGGGAGAAAAGCCGGATGGCCAGAACTATCACCTCTGAGAGGCACAACCAGGAGATGAGAAGGTCATAAAAATTCCACAGTGAGATTGTACTTTGGGAATCTCTTGAATAGTTCATTCTAAAAAGGGGGTGAGGGGGGAAATTAGGTATGCCCTGGGAAACTGTGAAAAGATCGTTCCTTACAAGAGGGTTGGGGAGGAATTAACATACTGGCTTTTGTTTCACTAAATACACATCGAGATAAGGGGAGGGGTTTTAAACTCCCTTATGTATCCCTGTATGCCTGAGAGACTTCAGACGCTGCTTTGGACTCCTACAGGAATTGTCTCATCTCAATAAAGGACTCCTTTGTGATACGTTTGGATATGTTTTCAGAAGTTTCACTCCACTCCTCTACTCGTTGTAGAATACCTTATGCCACCAGACTTGAAATTCTAGAACTAGAAAACCTTGAATTACGCCATATTCAGTCTGACTTAAGCATGGTATATAAAATCATACATTGCAATGTCCTACCTGTCAATGAATACTTCAGCTTCAACCATAACAACACAAGAGCACACAATAGATACAAACTCAAAGTAAACCGCACCAAACTTGATTGCAGGA